CGGCAGCTATCCGCGCCTGAGAACGACGAAGATTCAGGATGAAGGACGTGTGAGTGGTATCTAGGGTTTAGGGGTTTAGGGTTTAGGGTTTAGGGTTTAGGGTTTATGTAGGGTTTAGGGAAGTCCGAATAAAAATCCTACCATTCAACACACTCAACAGTTCGGAAGCCCCCTATAGTTTCAGAATGTGCCACCCGACTTCTGTCGGCCTTGCGGCATTCTAGCTGCAAGATGTTGGCTTGGCTTTACAGGGCTTTACCGCGGTGCAAATGCTTTGCTGGAAAATGGCGAAACATGAGTGGCCATTTGACCATCAAATGGCTAATGTGGGGGACTTGAACTTAGAACAGAGTTTTGGGCCCTGCATAATTTGTGTAGAATAAGGAACCCTGAGGAATGCTATTGGTAATTATCGTAGGCTTCTATATTGGACACCTTCTACTCTGGACAAGACCAACAAGCCAACCGCTGCAAAAAGCAAGCAGCTGTGTAGCTCCTACCCATGGCTCCAACTATCCATGTACTATTACTGTTTTCAAAGTTATATCTTGCCATGACGGGAAAATGTGTGTGTGTGTGTGGGTGAACGCTTGCAGTCAGAAACCTGCTGGGAGCACAGCCGAGTCTGGAATGGAAGGGTACTCTGGCTTCAATTTTTCAGGCTTGCGGCGAACACTCAAGTTAACTCATTAGCTACACGGCCAAACATCCGATCCCGAAGCTTAATGTCCAGATGCCGACCTCTCAACATCGTATGTACTCCCTCTGCACGAAATCTGTAACATCCGGATTAGAGATAGAGTTGTGCTATAAAACAAGATCCGGGTTGCGCAAGCAGGAACGCAATCCTCACCAAACGCTACAAGACCTTATAGAACGTCGAACGTCGACAGACAATTTTAAAAGCCGATACCGCTATACACTCTAAACCATCTCCCTATACACTCTAAACCCTCAACTTAGGCAACTCAACTACGAAACGTCACAGACCCGGCCTGGATCTGCGTCACAATTCGCGAGGATTTTGTGTTCTTCGAGAGGGCAGAGCCTCGGTTATGTGTAAGGGATCTCCCCGAACACGATCCTTTAACCTTGAACCCTAAACCCTAAACCCACCCTTTAGAAACCGTATAAATCCTGTTACGGGAGCCTTTGAGGGAAGTGTAAGGTTCAGGGGCAAGAATTTAATCCTTAGGGTTTTAGGCTTTCGGGTTTAGGGTTTAAGGGTAAAGATTTAGAGTTTCGGGCTTGGTGGTTCACGAAGGGTGCCGTATTAGGGTTTCGGGGTCTAGAGTTTCGGGTGCTACCACTACCAGGTGCCACAAGACCTTTGTTGCCTTATCCTATTGCGGCGGTATAGGGCTTTCAGGTGTTGGGTTAAAGGGCTCAGCACCCACAGGGTGTCGAACCCCAAAGCGTTGTAGCTGCTGAGCACACAATCTTAACCTAACAGCACTGTAGGCATGTATGTCCTCTATGGCCCTAATCAATCTCTGGTTGTCGTTATTGGCCTCTGTCTTGGTGGATTGTGTGCGAGTCTGTATCTCTGGGTGTTCTCGCATGCTGATGGACAAAACCCTACATTAAACCCCGTACCCTATAAGCAATGAAGGATTTCTTCCGCCAGCCGTATAAAACCATGCATAAGCCGTCATAAGCCTTAACACTCTCAAGCCTTCTCAACCCTTTCGAAAACCCTTCGGCTGGCAGTAGTACTTGTAGCAGTAGCAGCAGCAGCAGCAGCAACAGCAGCAGCAGCAGCAGCAGCAGCCGCAGCAGTAGCAGTAGCAGTAGCAGTAGCAGTAGCAATAGCAGTAGCAGCAGCGGAAGCGGAAGCGGAAGCGGAAGCGGAAGCGGTAGCGGTAGCGGCAGCGGCAACGGTAGCCGTAGCGGCAGTGGCA